GCACTGACCCAGAGAGCAAGAGGCATGGGCTTCAACTATGAGCATGAAAGAAAAAAAAAGAAAGCCGAGCATGGTGGCACACACCTGTAATCCCAGCATTCAGGAGGCTGAGGCAGGAGAATCATTGCGAGCTTGAGGCCAGCCTGGGCTACAAAGTGAGACCCTGTCTCCAAATAAACAAACATACAAAGAAGAAAGGAAGGAAAGGAAAGAAAAGAAAAGCAAAAAGGCAGGGAGAGAAGTAGAGAAGAGGGTTGCTGATGTGGGGGACGTGGAACACACACGCAGGAGGAAAGCCGTGAGACGCCTTCCTCTCCAGCCCACCTCACGCAGGAGCTCAAACCCAGGATTTGCACGGGGCACCTGATCTTCAAGGAGGCGTGGCCTGGAACCCCGCTCGGTGCTGCCCCCCAGAGGCCACGAGGAGAATCACCCAGCCCCGGAGAAGCACCCCTTTTCAGGAACGAGGTGCGCTTTCCCCGGTGGCCTCCTTCAGGGGCGCAGCTGAGACAAGGTTTGGAGCCCCGCGCTGGAACAGCTGCGATGGGGTGATGCCCTCTCGGTGGTAGGGCGTCCTGGCCTCCGGACAGTGGACGTGGGCTGCACTAGCAAAGCCCCTGCTCCGTACGTGGCACCCAGGGAGCACCGGAGTGATGAACGCACTACAGACTTAAGAGGCATTTTGTTTCTGCTGTGTCCCTACGACAAGGCTAGCGTGACTCTGGGAGAGGTAGAGCTGGCTTAGGGCAGCTGGTCTGCAAACAGCCACCATGGCAGGAAGCCAGGCATGGAGGAGTCACCGTCACCGGGCCAGACCTGTGCTTTTCTGCTCAGCAGTGAGGAAGGGGCACTGTGCGGACTGGGGACTGCGTCAGACACATGAGTATGGTGACAGGGCTCAGTCAACAAGAGGGTATCCTGATCAACAGCATCAATGCCCAGCATTGGGGTGTCACAGCGGCCTTGGGCCCACATCATCCCCACCCTGGCTCTGCGTGGGGTCACAATAGCTTTAGTTCTGAGCCACTCTGAGTTCTACTGGAGACTGCTTCGGCCACCCTGATGGCCCTAGACACCTGGAACTGTTACATCGAGGATGCCCAGCTCAGTGCCACTGCTTGCTGGCCTCATCAGCTCCCGGGAACTCAGTTTCCAGCTTCTGGGGGAACCTGCAGGCCACACTGCCAGCCTGAGCCACTGAGGTCCGGAGCTGTCTCCAGCCCTTGCAGAGAGCTATGAGGACACGGGCGGAAGCCACTGGGGACATGGGCCCGGGTTTGTGCTGGGCTCCTGGGTTCCCTGAGGGCTACAAGGCAGCTGCAGATGGGCACATCAGCCGATCTCTGCCCAGTGTCCGGCTACCAACTCCCCTGGGACCCACAGTCCTCTCTGTGTGCTGCTGGGCACAGAGCTAGTTAAGCGCCAATGTCTCCTGCTTTCTTCTGGGCACCTGGAGGTGACAGCCGGGGCATATCGGTCTCATCTGGGAACAGAAAACATGTGTGCGGCTTTCCATCCCCACTCAAAGCATTTAGGAAAAGGCCCATAATGTGGGGGTGAGGGGCTGGGGGACTGTACCCTGGAGCACAAACCTGCATTTATAGAAGTGGTCATTCTCCTGAGGTCTCTGGCTGGGTGTTTGGAGGAAATGATGAGAAATGAAGGGACACTGCACACCCAGCCTCCTTGGCTTCCATGGCCTGCAAGCCCAGATTCTAGTTTAAATGTCTGGAAAACTTGTAACTGTGGGAATCGCCCTGGGCCTCCTGAGGTTCCGGTCCCATGACTCCTGAGACACAGCAAGAGCCCAGAGAGGGAGAGAAAGAGAGAGAGAGAGAGAGAGAGAGGAGGGGGAGAGGGGAGGGGGGGAAGGAAAGGGGGGGGGGAGAGGAAAAGGTCTCCAAAGAGGGATAATATTCCTCTCCTGTGTTAATGTAATTTATGGTAAAAGCACACCTGAGCCTGTCGTGCTAGCAGGCAGCTGCAATCCCAGCTCTGGGAGGCTGAGGCAAGAAGATCACTGTGAGTCTGAGGCCAGCCCGAACCATCTTAAAACCAGAAATAAACAAACAAACAAAGAACACATGGTTGAAGTAAAGGACCTGAACTATCCCGCCCTTACGTCTGTCATTTTGTCTTGCTGAGGGTGTCTCTAGTCCAAGACAACATAATCCCCTGGGTCATTTTTCTTTTTCTTTTTGAGACAGGTTTCATTCTGCAGTTCAGGCTGGCCTTGAACTCACTTTGTAGCCCAGGCTGACCAAGAACTCAAAGGTATCTTCCTACCACAGCCTCCTGAGTGCTAGGATTACAGGTGCGCGCCACCGCACCTGGCGCTGGGGTCTTTCTGTACATCGATTAACAAAGCAGTTTTTAGTGAGAAATCCCTGGCTGAACAATCTTCCTCTTATACAGCCAACTGAAGCAGTAAGGGATTTTGCCCCCTGTAGGCAGACATAGTAACCTGGAGACACACACACACACACACACACACACACACACACACAGTAAGCAGAGGATTCCCTTTAAAATTTGCTGAGCTGATCCCTTCTGAAACAACCTTCTGGGGCCAAGTGAAGCCCAAAGTCCTTCCTTGCCTGTAAGGACAACTGTCCCTGTGGCAGAATTGTCACTATCTATTTGGTGGCTCTTCCCATTAAAAAAAAAGAGATTATTTTGGTTGGTCGGTTGAGGCAGTCTCACTGTGTAGCCCATGCTGGCTTCTACCTTGTGTCAGTCCTCCTGCCTCAGCTTCCTGAGTGCCAGGACTACAGTATGCACTACCATACATTTTAATTTCTAAACTCTGTCCTGGTGATGGTCTCACACTTTCCCCTTGGTCTTTTCTGAAAATCCCAGAGTGGTCGGTTGTCGGTTGTCGCAGGTCACTGAGTCCCATGCGGAGGCCAAGCCCTCAGACCCAGCCCCACCTCCTCACTCTGGTTCCGGTCTGATGCCTCCGACTCGAGGCTTGAGGATGAGTCCATCTTCACGGGGTCTCCTTTCCTCCCTGACAGGGCCACCTGGGTTAGGAATAGTTAAATCAGCGACAGTCAAAGTGCAGTGGCCGGAACCCATGCTCCCAGCACTGGGAGGCTGAGGCATGAGGATCTGGAGTTTGAGGCTAGTTTGAGCTACAGAGCAACTTCCAGGCCAGTCTGGGATCCATAGCAAGGCTTAGCCTCAAAAAACAAAAATCGTCAGATATCTGATACACAAAGATTTGCTCTGTTGTGGGGTTGGATGACATCGCTATCTTCATAAAACTGTTTAATTTCAAAGAAAAAAAAACTGGTTAATTTCTAACCTGGGTGTGGCGGTGTAAATCTGTAATCCCAGCACTCAGGAGGCCAAGGCAGGAGGATCACCAAGAGTTTGAGGCCATCCTGGGTTGCACAGTGGATTCAAGGCCAGCCTGAATTACATAGTGAGATCCTGTCTCAAAAACCCCAAAATAAATAAATAAATAATAAAAGTTGTTTAACTTTCAAATTTTTAAAAAATTATTTGAATACTCTGGTTTCCTTCAGATCCTATACATCTTTCATAAATATTTTGCTTTTCTGATTCTATTGAAACCACATTTTGCTACATTAATGCTTGCCTTGAATTTAATATGGTGCCCAGGTGGGATTCAAACTCACAATCCTGGTGCCTCAGTCTGTAGAGTGGTGAGATGGTAGGGGTGTGCCACCACATCCAGGAACTCAAACATTTAATCATTTAAAAAAATTTTTTTTGTCTTTTTCTTTTTTATCGGTACCAGGGATCAAACTCGCGACTGCCTGCTTGCAAGGCAGGCGCTTATGCCGCTGAGCTAAGTCCCCAGCCCCCAATTCAATCATTTTTTTTTTCCTTCCAGTCTGAGACTTTAACCCAGTATGTGCTCACTGAGCTACATTTCAGTCATTTACATTTTTTTTTTTTAATTTTGAGACAGAATGCACATGCCTGTAATCCTAGTCCCTGGGAGGCTGAGGCAGGAGGGTCACTGTGAGCTAGAGCCCGGCCTGGGCTACATAGTGAGACCCTGTCTCAGATTTTTTTCTAGTTTATATCATTATGGCAACTGCTATCTCATACATTTGCTGGATCGAGAGCCACGACGAGGGAAAGCCCTTACCTTAAAACCTGCCAGGGAGTGAAGCCTCCAGAAGCTGAATCTGACAAGGACGGCGCGTGTTGGCTGCTGTAAGCGGTGCCCTCTGGCCTGACACATTTCTGCGCAGATCTGGTGTCTTCAGCACAGAAAATCAGGATCCCGGGGGTGGCAAAGGCCTCTGCAGATCTTCTTGTCCCATCTGCTCTGGGACCCAGTGAAACTGAGGTGCCTCATGGAGAGCCCCCAAGGGCTGCAGCTCAGTAGAGGGGTGTCCTGGGATGTGAGTGCCGCTCTGCAGCCTGTACTTCCACAAAACCTGGGCTCTCGCCAAGATGTGATGAGGCCATGGGGACTAGATCCTGTTTATTGAGCACCTACTGTATTCCAGGCTCTTGGATACAGCAATAAATAAGGTAGACAAAAGCTGGGCATTGGGAGCCCCCAGGTCAGGCGGGGATGCAGAGACCCCGCGACGACACCTGATGTCATGGAGAAAGCCAGGTCGAAAGACGGTCCCAGCAGGTGCAGCTGCTTTGGGGGGGCTCAGGGAGAGGGTTATTCGTTCATTCCGTGAGGGCACCTGCGGCGCCCCGTGAATGTCCTGCCCTCGGTGAGGACGCCAACGCAGCCCTTTCCTTCTCCGTATATTTGAGGCAGACGGAGCCACAGGAAACGGACAAATAGATATCAAGGGCGCCTGGGGGCGGGGACGCGTCTGCACTTGCTGCCACCGCCTCCCCTGTACTGTGCCAAGAGGTCACCGCGCTAGTGACGAGCGCGTCCTCGCGAGCCGGGACGCGCACCGCGCAGCCCCAGCCCCGCCCCCGCCCGTGCGCGGCGCCCCCTGGCGGGAGTTCGGGGCAGCGCAAGCCGCGCGCGAGGAAGGGGGAGGAGGCGCCGCGCACGCGCACGCGCACAAGCCGGCGGCGCGCGCCGAGCGGGGGGCGCCGCGCGGTGCAGCCACGATGGAAGGGGGTGCGTACGGAGCTGGGAAAGCCGGGGGCGCCTTTGACCCCTACACCCTGATCCGGCAGCCGCACACCATCCTGCGCGTCGTGTCCTGGGTAAGTACGGGCGGGCGGCCGCGGTGGGGTGTGGGCTAGAGCGGTGCACCCCAACACCCCGACACCCTGTCACCCTGACGCCTCGACCCCAGGGGCGCAGCAACCGGCTGGGAGGTTCTCGGTTCGCAGGCGCGCGTGGACTGCCCCCCTTTCCGGGCGCCAGCGGGGGTGCCCGCTCCGACACCCCATTTCCCCGGAGGCCCCCGTTCGCGCGTCTCCCACCCCCATCGCCGTGACCTCCAGGCCGCGACTGTGCAGCTAACGGCTGCGTTGCGCGTGGCTGTGGGGACGCAGCCCCGGTTCAGGTAGCCTTGGTGGGGGAGCGCAGATCAGGGCGTGGATCATCGCACGCCGCGGACGCTGGAGAGGACAGGGCAGGGGGCTCGGTCTGTGTGGTTGAGCCCCGAAGGTGGCAGCGAGGAGCCGAAGCGCGAGACCTGGCTTCCTCCGGCAGCTGCAGCCCCTTCGCCGCGTGACCTTGGGCTGGGAACCACCCGAGAAACATTCTCCGGGAGCGAGGAATTCATTGCCGAGGTGGAGAGCGCCACCTCTTCTGTCTTGCCTCAGTTTCCCGATTTATAATGAGGGTGGGAGGAGCCTCTTGAGGCCCCTTGGGCTCCGACATTTCCTGAATCCGGAATAACCCCTCCCCCAGCAGGGACCTGGATGCCAGTGGGCGGGTGTCCGAAGGAAGGTCCTTTCCCCAGGCAGGTTCCCTCCCCAGGCCAAGAGCACAGAAGCCGCTGAGGGCCTTACAGGACCTGCAAGAAGCCCAATGTGCCCAGTACTGAGTCTGGGCTGGGGACTGGGACAGAGTAAGCAGAGAGGGTGCGTTCAGGTGGCTTGGGCAGCACCTGCGCTAAGAAATCCTGCTCCCCCCCCCCCACCCCCCGCCATCCAGGGGTTGCCAGGGGTTGGGTGGTGAGTCTTGTCCCAGGAGGCTTGCACCTCTTCCTGATGGGCCCAGACTGGAAGGATCTGGACTGGGACACTGGGCAGGGACAGTCAGGAGCCCTTGGTAGCTATACCTGCAGCCAGCTTGGTGGCTGGATGGGACAGCTTGTGGTGTTTGTTTTCTGTAGTCGTTTGCAGTACTGGGGTCGGGGGTTCAACTCAGGGCCTTCCCCTGCCCTGTTTTCTATTTTTAGGCAGATTCTTGCTAAAACATTAAGTTCCTCAGGCTGGGCTTAAACTTTTTATCCTCCTGCCTCAGCCTCACAGAGTCTGGGAATCCATCAGGCCAGCTTGGGTATTTAACTCTGGCCTCCCAGAACAGAAGGGAGCTACCTTTTTCTTTTTTGTGTGTATTTGGCGGAGGGGCGGGATGGCTTCTTGTTATTGTTTTGGTTTTTGAGGCAGAGTCTGGTATGTAGTGTAGACTGGCTTTGAACTCACTGTGTAGCCCAGGTTGGCCTTAAACTTTGCAGTGATCCTCCTGCCTCAGCCTCCCAAGTGCTGGGATTACAGGCTTGTACCATCATGCCTGGCTTGAGCTATACTTTCATTGTCTGAAAAAGTTAGAGACCTTCCTGAGACTGCAGGAAAGGTGACCAGCTTTAAATGCTCACCAGATGGACAGCACTTTTCAGTACTGGGGATACAGAAAAGCCTGGTTCTGTTAATGTTTGTGTCCCTGTACCCCAGGCACATCCATCCAAGTTCATTGTAGCAATGAACTTGTTCATCAGTGACGGTGTGGTGTCCAGCTCCTAGAGTCCCTGGAACACCTGCCCTGTTGTGGAAGGGGGTGCTGTGTAGCTGCTCAGGTTAGCCCTCCTGGACACTCCCCGGCCTGAGAGGTGAAGCCGCGGGCTTATGAGGGGGTGTGGGAACCATCTGCTCCGGTCAGTGCTGCCTGCAATTTAACAGAGCTGTATTGAGTATGCCAGGCCCTGAGGGAAGCGGCATGACTCAGGCACAGCCCTGGTGGGAAGGGCAGCCAGGTGGCCCCTGAGTAGAAGCCATGAGAGTCAGGAGGGGTCTTCCGGCCGGGAATGGCAGGAACTTCATGGAGCAGGGAGAGATCCATTAGGCCTGGCAGGATGGTGGGGGGCGAGGAGCTGTGCTTATGCACAGGGGGGTCAATGGAGGACACGGCAAGCAGGGAAAAGAGCATGCACACCCCCCCTGAGGTCCCCAAGCTTGCACTGAAGAATCTGAGGCTTCTTCCAAAGACCTAGTAACTAGCTGTGTATAACTGAGCATAACTGTCACAAAGCAGTGGAAATCAGGTCTTCTGTCCCTAAAGCAGGGAGAGTGCAGAATCCTGAGATTTCAGGATTGGAAAGGACAGAAGGGTTGTGGAGCTGGCTGCATCTAATGCCCATGCCCCCAGCCCTCGCAGCCCTGTGCACACCTGCGCGCTGGTGCTCGCTACCTTTGTCTAAGCAGAAGCATCTGACGCAGCGCACAGATACCTTAGAAAACAAGTGAGCTTTTCATAAAATCTCATTAAGGCAATACCTCTGATTACTGGAAAATATATCACATGCAGTGGCTGTGTGACAATGTGAACTTGCTTAATTCTGCCAAACTGTGCCCTTAAAACTGTGGTAATGAGGAAGATCAACCGCAAAGGCAAGTTTCATGCTATATGTGTTTTATCGTAACAGAGAAAGTTTGCGCCATTTAGGGAAAGCTGAAGTTAATACAATACTGTGTCTCTTCAGGTCTTTTTAAATAAAACTTAGAGCTGGCACAGTGACAGTGACAGTCCCCACACTCTGGGAGGCTGGAGCAGGAGGATCCAAAATTAGAACCCAGCCTGGACTACTTAGCAAGTTAGTGAGACCCTGTCTTGAAAAATAAAGAAAGCTGAGGATGTACAAAAGCCCCCACACAGACACAAACACACACACACACACACACACACACACACACACACGTGGGCTTCATGAAGCCTGAATTCCAGATGCGGGTAACTAAATCACCAGAGTGTGCTGGAACTTTCCTGGCTTTAGCACTGAAAATCCAGTGTGAGCCCCTCAGTCCCGGACAGACCAGAACTAGGTACCCTCTCTACCCCCTGGAGGGGCGCCACTAACTTGTGCATATGAATTTATGACTTTGTAAAATTTGTGCAAGAAAGATCTTTTTCTGTTTTTGTAAACGCAGATGGGCTGCTGGGTGTGATGGCACACCCTTGTAATCCCAGTACTCAGAAGGCTGAAGTAGGAGGATTGTTGCAAGTTTGAGACCAGCTTGGACTACAAAGTGAGCCCAAGGCCAGCCTGAACTGCATAGCAAGACTCTGTCTCAGAGAAGACCAAAAAAAGAAAAGAAATATGGGGCTGGGGATTTAGCTCAGCGGCATAAGCGCCTGCCTTGTAAGCAGGCAGTCGTGAGTTCGATCCCTGGTACCGATAAAAAGGAAAAGGACAAAAAAAAAAAAAAGGAAAGAAATAAAGTGGCAGGGCCTCGATAGACCTGGACCCACCAGAGGCCCCGAGTCCCAAGCCCCTGAGCCTGGCCGGCAGGAACAGGACCTTCCAGCCCCGCATGTCCCTTGGCTGAGGCCATCTCAGCCATCTCAGGTCAGACCTGAGCCATGTTGGAGTGGCTGAATTGGGACACTGGCCAGACCAGGCTCCCTTGACCTAAGTTTTGAGGGAGATGGGGATGTCCTGGCTGGGGGCTGGGAGATTGGCTGCTACTCCTGCCTCCTCCGTTCCCAGGCAGTGGCTGTGACCTTCAACACGTGTCACCCCCTCACCCCTGTTCGTTGGTCTCCCCTCTGAACAGGACGCTAGGCTATCTATCTGCTGCACGACTGTGGCCTGTCAGTAGTGACCCGCTTTGGCCTGGAGCCAGAGGGGATGATGCGTTTACAGCAGGAACTGCACTGGTTGAGTAGAAAAGACTTTATTTGGGGTTTGCATTCTCGTTTTGTGGGCTGATGACCTGTGGAGAGATCAGTGCTGAGACATAAGAGGGTTTTCAAAAATCTGTTCTGGCAAAGTAACATGCTAGAGCATTAGGCATTTCACCACCATCAGAATTTATTAGCATGATTGACATTGTTTTGATGTGCAGACCTTGTACATGCTGTACCCCCAGACCCCAGGGTTGGTCTCTTCGGGGTTCTGTAAGTGGCCAAGTATCTTTGCACCCATCTTCCAAATGACAGAAGCAAGACCTAGCCTGGAGAGGTGACTGCCACCAGCCCAAGGCCTGAGACTGGCAGGGGCACAGTTGGAACCTTGTCTGCAGGGCACCCACGGCCCTGTGAAGCTCACTGGGCCCTCAGCAGGTGTCCTGGCTGAAGGTGTGTGGTCGTCCCATTTGGCATTTGCCACTGACTATCTTGGAACCCTCTGGCCTCTCTGCCTGCAAGAGCCGTCTGCTCGGCCGCTCCCTCACGTCTGGGCCCGGGTCAGCTGCCAAGAGGCCTGCGGGCGGTGTCGGCCTGGGTTTCGGATGTGTGTCTTGGGCAGTTCCTGGGTTTAGCGTGGAGGGCAGGGATCTCTGTGGGGGATCTTGGAGCCCTGCCTCTCCCAGTCTGTTTCCTCACCAGTGCCATGGGGTTGTTGCTTGTCTTAGGAGGCCTTGCAGGTTGGAAGCTCTTCCTCAACAGTTCTGTGATCCCCATTTAGCTGGACACAGAGGCCTGAGGAGGCCCAAGAGCTGCTGGGATGGCTGGCGCCACAGCTCAGACTGAGGAAGCGAGGCCCCGACTGCGTGGGGTGGGGAGGCCGCCTGACCTGCTGAGCAGAGCTCTTAGGCCTGCCCAGGGGTGGGGGAGAAGGAACAAAGGCGGGAGGAGGAAAAGCCCTGAGGAGGGGCTGGAGCCAGGGAGAGGCAGATGGCGGGGTGTTGGAGGACTAGTGCTTGGCTGCTTGGCGCCCAGACTTTTGGCACCCAGACCGGAAGAACCAGCTGTCTAGTGGGAGGGGAGGCACGCAGGGCAGGCAGGACGTGAGAGCAGGTCATGGTGAGTGCCTTGTGGCAGTCCCCTGCAGTCCTGCTTGCCCATGTGTCTTGAGCAAAATGGTGGTGCCAGC